GTTCAATTCCCAATTGGCGAGTTAATTTTTGTCCAGTGTCCCTCTCAGCTTGGGTTGGCCCTGATAGATAGAGTCGGAAGCCACCTCTTACATGGTCTAGATTGTACAGATAGAGGCGTAAAAACACCTACATTTTGGAGAGAAAAAAACAAGAAAAAACGCCCCACCCCCAGCCGCCCCTCTCTCTCTCTCTCTCTCTCTCTTTCTCTCTCTCTCTCTCTCTCTCTCTCTCTCTCTCTCCCTCTTCCCCCCCCCTCTCTCTCTCTCTCTCTCTCTCTCTCTCTCTCTCTCTCTCTCTCTCTCTCTCTCTCTCTCTCTCTCGCAACGCAATCGGCAGAGTTGATCATTTATCGAACAAAAAGGGAAGTAGCTTCTACAAAGGAAAGATACACCATCTTCCCAAACTTTGCTTGGTTCTTGCCAAATCGAAAATTGTACATGTCTCAGTGCTGACACAAGTTAGTACATGTATTTAGTATCTGGTAAGTCTACAGAGTATTCAAAATCTCTGTCACAATGCTTTTAATCCCTTGTGGAAAAGCCAGTCTGTTGTGAAAGACTGTCCTGTGTAAAGGGATAAAAGGGATATTGTCTTAAATACTTTTTCGGTAAAGGGATAAAAAAAAAAGGGGATACTTGCTTTACACATTTTGTGGATAAAGAGATAAAAGGAATATTTTCTTAAATATATACTTTTTATGTCAGATGACTCATCCCTTTCAACCATAAAACTCATTCCATTTAGTCAGAATACTCGTCCTGTTTTGATGTAATGTTCGCCCCTCTTTTGTCCGAAAACACCTTTTTGAATCCACATCTATTTTACTTAAGCTCAAACATGTAAAACCTTGTCATGTCATTACCATTGTCTTCTCTAATTGATACTAGGGTCATAAAAAGACATGCCATAACCCTCGTACCCAGCTGTGTCGCGTGCGAAGTCCTCCATGTACAATGTAATTTGAAAACGTATGAAGTGTTTGTTCAAGTTTGAATGGATAGCGTGCGGGATTCCCAAGTTGTCGGCGACTGTCAGGGCACCCAGTTAGCATTTCTTTGTAGTTGGCCTAGCTCGGGCTTGTCATAGTGAAGATGTAAAAGTACATTTGTATCGACACAGTGCCTCGATACTTGCAGTGTCAAGAGATCTAGCAGTTGTCTGACACGGGGACACCTCCTTCCCGAGTTTTTCCGGCTGGTTTTCTTATTCTTTGGAGGAAGTCTGTCACGAGATGGCAAGCTACTATTTGGGATGCCGCCGCCTCGCCCCAGACGCTGAGAACCTCAGATAGTATAAGAACGTATAGTGCCCCCCCCCCCTCCCCAACCTCCCTTTCTGCATTTGCCTCTCTGCCCCCCCTCTCTCTCTCTCTCTCTCTCTCTCTCTCTCTCTCTCTCTCTCTCTCTCTCTCTCTCTCTCTCTCTCTCTCTCTCTCTCTCTCTCTCTCTCTCTCTCTCTCTCTCTCTCTCTCTCTCCCTCACCCCCATCCCCCCTCTGTGTGTGTGTGTGTATCGACCCTTCTCCCCCCCCCCCTTTTTTCTCTCTCGTGGGTGGTTGGCGGGTGCTCTGGTGTGGTTTGCTCCTTCTTTCCTATATCTATCGTTGTTATCTCTACTTCTTTTTTGTGTTTGTTACTCTCTTGTAACACCTCTAGTCTCCGGCACTTATATGACCATATTGTGTTGCAAGTGCCGCTAAACTCTTACTAAAACAAAACCCTCTCATTCTTTCATGCGGAAAGCGTTTTGGGAGGGAGCTATAAGTAGGGTAGTAGGTGTATTGTTCGAAGATGCCGAATTAAAAGTCATATTATCATTTTTCCAGTGATGTGTTGAATTCGTTGAGTGCACACATGCGGGTGCACGTGTATGTGTGCGCGTTTGTTTCTGGTTTTGATCAAGGAAAAGGAAAAGAGGAGATACTGTAAGAGCGAGAGACAGACCGAAAGACAGATTTGGAGAAAAACAAATTCTTTGTGTGTGTAAAAGGAGGGGGGGGGGGTGAGACACTACATGTGAATATTATTATGTATTGTGTGATCTAGTGTGTTCTTTCTCGAGCGATTATTGAATTAAAGTTTCTCCTTCTTAGTTGTTAAATGTATAGACCCCCCCCCCCCACACACACACACACACACACACACACACACCTGGTTTCTAGTTTAGTTGCCATGACCATTGAAGCGACCTTTCTAGGGAGAGGACTCTGTTGTCGTGTGGTTAACATTCGTCCTTGAACGTTTTTGTTATCTTAAGATTTTTATGTTTCTTGCGAATTGCAACCTGTTGTGCTCACTAACAGACGACGCAAACACCCAACTTTTCCGCCTTGGGTTTGTCGAAAGACAACCCATGTGTAAGCAGTTTAGTGGCTTGGCTCTCAGCTTTAGAAACGAGAGGCGAGAGTTCCATTCCTTCGGGGGAAAATATTTTGCCAAGTACGGGCTCTGCCCCTCCACAGGGGTTTAGTCTCCCTCACGACTCGCGTTGTCCGCGGCCGGCTGAATTGAACCAACCTTGCTCATTTGTCTCTAGTTTTCTTTGGGTTTGTTTCGATTTTCTTGTTCTTGTGTGTTTGTGTGTCTGGGGGGGGGGGGGTTGGTTTGTTGGGTTTTGTTGTTGTTTTTTGTTGTTTTTTTATAATTTGAGGCCAA